CCTCACCTCATCTATTGTCTCTTCTACTCTATTCAGCTTGGATTCCATCCTATCGATCTTCTTATCTACTAGTTTCATATCCATTTTCATGTCTTTCATATTACTTTGAATGTCCTGCAAAATTGACATCATGGCTCCATCCTCAGGTTGTTTACTGGGTGCGGATGCCGGTTGAAGAGTCCCAGACTTGGTCACTGTTGATTGCCTGGTATCGGGTTCTGGATTCAATTCAATATCACCAGCTTGTTGGAGCAATCTGCTAACATAGTGATGAGCTGGTAAAATTAATACACCATTGTTGTACACCGAAAGGATTCCACGTGCATTATCACCGCCAAGGGTATACTTTGCCGTCACCTTCATACTGGATATAGCACTGGTTGGCATGAGCAAATGACCATCTGAAAACAATCATTATCAAGAAATTTGAATGTGATGATATATATGTTCTGCGTATATCGACAATGACTGAATACGCAGAGACTTATGGGTAATGGCGGTACCCAGATTTCCTTCTCGAGCAAATAAAATCATTTTCTGCTGCTTTTGAGTAAACACGAAATGGGAATCTACTCATCTTCATCTTGGTCATTGAAAATAATGGGTCATATGTATGGTGTTTGTCTATACAGTCCGGTTATGCCCCACTACGTACAACTTGGTGCTCTTTTTAAAGCTCCATGCAAATAACCCCCAGTTTTGTACACGTCCATAGTGCAGTTGTATTATATATTTTCTTGTATCATAATTTGATTTTTAACACTGCTAAAATTAAACAACTATGTGTTTTATTTTGACGGACCAATCTAAGAAAATCACTCAGCACAAACGGGAAGACACAATCAAACTGATGAAGGTGTCGGCATAGGCAGGTAGTGCTATGGTGGCCATAGCAAAATGGTGACCACGAATATGCCGTGTTACAACATCAACCTATGGTTACAATGACTTTCAACTGCGAATTTAGGATGTCATTGAAGTTGTTAAATACACAAACATGTCTTTCAACATGTGGAACAAATTAACTATTTTGGCTCCGTTGCATTAGCGGTTGCCTCGAAAACCGCCATATTATGGTTAGGTTGCTGTATAATAAAACTTAAATGTACAAAATATTGTATGCAATCGAGTACCGTGTATGTGTGTCTACTAGCATACTGAACATGGTTTTCCATTACCTTATAATATACCTATAAACGATCCCACTGAACAACTGTGCACACCAAATAATAACCCTGCCCTTTCGGTTCTCGATTTCGACATGTTTCACTATATTTACAACTATGGCAATCACACTGGTTCAAAGTATTGCCTCACTATGGAATAGATAATTTGATCTTAATTGTCCCGAGTATTGCTTATCCTTATGACGAGGCTAATTTATTTATTATCACCTGGTTCACACGTAACATTTACGCCGTTGTAGCACAGCCGCAAATTTAACGACGCCGTTATTCTTATCGTGTGACCAGTTTACGCCGGTATAAAAATGGCAGATTTTACACTGGCGTAAATTATTTGACCAGAGTCCGCGCTCGAACCTAAATTCTAAACAAACGTTCGTGTGAACACGCACAGTGGCATAAACAGTGACACAAGCACCCTCTATCGGGAATTCGTGTCTAAGACCATAGCAACAACATGACGACGAGTGACAATAATAACCGTAGTGGTAGGGTACGAATACACGAAACACGAATCTAACTACAGGGGGGAGGGTGCTACACAGGCCTAATATAAAATTACGCCGGCATTTTTAATGTCGTGTGATCGCAAACGAAATACACCGACGTAGAACCATTGCGAACACCGATATTCTCACTGGCCCTACAACGGCGTGAATCTGTATTATCCTTGAGTAGTACCGACAACAAGAGAGATAATATTGTCCCTGAGTGGTCACAACAACAAGAGAGATAATATTATCCCTGAGTGGTTCCAGCAACAAGGAAAATAATATTATCCCTGGCTTATCCCCACAACAAGCGAGATAATATTATCCCTCTGTGATCCCTGCAAGAAAAGAGATAATATTATCCCTCAGTGGTCCCAGCAACAAAGGAGATAATACTATCCCTGGCTTGTCCCAACAGTCTGCCCCAGCAACAAGGGAGATAATATTATCCCTGGGTGGTCCCAGCAACAAGGGAGATAATATTATCCCTGGGTGGTCCCAGCAACAAGGGAGATATTATTATCCCTGGGTGGTCCCAGCAACAAGTGAGATAATATTATCCCTGAGTGGCCTCAACAACAAGGGAGATAATATTATCCCTGACTGGTTCCATCAACAAGGGAGATACTATGATTTCTAATTGGTCTTGGCAAGGGAGATATTATCTCCGAGATAGTAATACGTAGTTATTTTGTAGTTTTCAGAATGTTCATAATTTTGGGTTAAATTGTGCTGTTTTGATTATTATTGCATTTTCTGCTGGTGAAGTGAAATATTTATGCTCATAATAATTCCATGTTGCTAGAAAACACTGTTTTAACTTGTATTGTTTGATCTACTGATTCACTTTCACTGTAATTATCAGTAATATCATAGTTTAATTGTTGGCTAGGGATTTTAAGTACGTATCAAATATTCATTCGTGCACGTGCATCAGTTAATGCGTTTAATATTTCTATACTATTTTTGATATATCAAGGTACGACACTT